CGCTCAGATATTGGGATGAGCAGCCCGTCGGTGTGATTGATGCGCTTTGCATGCCGCCCCGCCAGCCGTCGCACGGCCAGCCCCGGCCCGGCGCCCCGGAGGTAGGCAGCCAAACCTGCACGTGCGACACAGCAGGGCTCGTGACGCTTTAGCGAGCTTCGCACCCGACGGCGCGACCACTACTCTGAAAATCTTGAACAAGACGAAGACGGCGGTTCTGTTGCTTCATCATGGGAGAAAGTGTGCGGGTTATACCATGGACATGTGGCGCAATGATCATTTTTTGAGTTTACGCGCCAATGTCGCTCGGGCCGACCGCGGGAGGGAATGCCAAAATGTACCGCGTTTCATAAGCAGCCCGCAAGAGAGCGCCAGCTTCAGAGTGAGAAAACAAAAGCAGTGCAGCAGCATGGCGTCGGGCCCAACTATTTACCTGTTTTTCTCAAACAACAAAATGTTTTTCGGTGTGGAACACTTTTATGTCAGTTGCTACGCTACTGGATTATCATCTCTTACTTTTTGGTCTTTATTTTCTTTTGAAAACTGATATGTTTTTCGACCGCTAGTGGTTTAAACTGCTCATCAAAGTTTAATCTGTTCAGGTTAGGGACTTTGTATCATGTCGCCTACTGTGCCATAGAACCTGCTGAATACGTCCCAAGTAAGTTGTAATTTAAGTTATTTTTGGGGAATACAGTATTACTGCTTATTTCTCGATGCACACATGTAATTAAAAAAAAAAGAAAACGAAACGCGCGCGCCCGCCACATACTCGAGGGCCAGCTCTGCGCTAAATACAGGGTGAGGGGACTTTGTCCATGTCCTCTGGTAGAGACAGTCTTTAGGGGACTGTCGAAAATGCTGTAGCTCATGTTATTGTTTGAGCGATGAGGGTGAAGGTTGCTTCTGCCAGGAGTTGTTACTCTGTCACTATACTCTCAGTATTTTTTCCATTTTCCAGCATTTATATTTTGTTTTGGAACGATTCTTGTTTTTTATGGAACGGCAATGACTGTTTCTTCTTTAAAGTGTTTGATAACAATGACGTTGTTAGAGGACAACATTCTGTCGCTATGGAATAGAATGATATTTTAGTCATAATAATAATTGTAAATAGCCTTTGCTGCTCTTTAGCAATGGTTCAGTCAGATTTAGTTGTTATTCAAAAATTAAAGTGTGCGCCACGTGACGTGCATGTTAATAACTTACCCTGTGGAATCCTTCAAAGAATGGTTTGTTCTTCTAGTCAACAATAATTTCAGATTGGGATGTGAATGTATTAATACTTCAAGTAAGAATGTTGAGACTTAGAGTACAGCGTGTAGGAAAACAAGCGACCGAGGATGGGATGTGAGCTTTAGCTATAGACTAGGAATGGTTCAGAACCCGAAAGACAGAGACGGGGAGGAGATGGTGGGGCGACTTATGAAATGGTTTGTTGCTAATGGCCCGCCTCTAGCCGTGCCCCTGCAGGCGCGGGTCCGCGGCCAATCGGCCTTCGCATCCGGGGCTTGCTCGACCTGCGCCCCTTTGCTCCTGGAGGCGCGCTTTCAATTTCCTGGAGCGGCCGCCGCCGGTGTCTAATGCAGGGCGGGGCGGACGGTTGCTGCTGCTGCTGCTGGAGGCGCTGGAGGCTTCAGCGCAGGACCCGAGGGCCCGGCTGCCGGAAACGAGCAGCCAGCGGCGGCGGGCTGACGGACTGCAGTGCTAGAGGGACACGGCGGGGGCCCACGCGGCCACCTCAGCCTGGAGATTCTCTACAGCAAGTCGTTCTCCAGCGCGCGGCCTCCATTTCCCGCTCCCCGGCCCTCCGTGATTGACAGGCGGCCCACCCCGCCCGCCGCCCGCGCCCGCTGCACAAGTGGCGCGGAAGAAAAAAGAAATAAGCGATGATAATCTTGGGGGGGTTATACCGGGAGTCACCTCGGCCTTGGGGGTCTCACACCGGTCTCACCCCGTCCCGGCCGGGGAGGGCCTTCCCTCGGAGGTAGAAGCGGAGAAGGGCGGAGAGGGTGGAGAGGCTACCGAGCGGACCGGGCTGTCGATAGTGTAGCGGCCGCGTGACGGCCGCAATCAAAATGCTAACGAAAAGCGCCGGAAATCACAGGTTGGATCTCAATATCCAACTTTGCGTCCCTCCCTCCCCCTCCGTCCGCCCCGCCTATCTGATGGTGTCTCCTGCACCGCCTCACCCCGGTCGGGGCTGCAGCGGACCAGATCAGCGCCGCCGATATCGGGAATAACAATCTCGAGTCGCGTGCGGTGTGCGTTTACGAGACCGTTTTGCCCTCTTTGGTGTTTCTCAGGTGCGGCTGCCGCTGCTGACTGCGCTGCGGGCGGCGAGCTGAGCCGAGCTGGAGCCGACGGCAACGACAGCTCTCACGCATATCGGTAAGTGATCTCGTTTGCTTCATCGGACAAGTACTTTGCTCCGTCTCAATCTGTTTCTCTCCCTGTCTCCCTCC